GGTAGTACTCGTCCGCGACGCGCGCGGTGCTATTTTCAAGTGGAACATTATTTTCGTCACGGGATACTTTTACTCCCGCAGAACTGGGGTGACTCGACGATGGTTGCAGGATGGATCATTCATTTCGCGAAGTAAAATTCCCGTTTTTTCGGCGGCAGCTGGCCCGGACTTTCGGCGCCTCGCGACCGAAATTCAAATATAGACAATTGCTTTTCAAATACCACGATCTCCTCCTCTCTTTCTTTCTTACTCCTTTTTTCTCTCTTTCCGGGTCGCATTATCTACGATCTAAGCAAATCTTCCAGGTCATTCCACGGCGGATCGTGTCGCCCGCGTATCGATTATTTCTGCGGTCCCCACCTCGTCTCGATATCTGACAATCGAGGCGAGGTGCTTTGCGTTTGCGGAGCGCCCAGTATCTGCCGGTGGTGGTCGGTTAGACGTCGTCGTCGTCGACGACGGCGTCGGCACGCGGGGAACAGTGTGTGTAAAGGGTGGCGAAGGGGGAACAGAGGTTGACGGGGGGCAGCCGGCGAGGAATAGATAAGCAAATAAATAAACTAGCGGGGCAAGGCGAGTCAAGGCGAGCGCGCGAGACGGAGAAAGAGAGAAAGACGGAGAGAGTAGGGCCGGTGATTCTCGGGCGAACGCTCGTCGGCGAGGTCGACGGCCTGACACGGATGGTTGACGCCGTGGGGCCCGCCTCGTAACCGGCCTGGGAAGAAGAAGAACGAGAAAAGAGAGGTAGATAAAGAGAGGAAAGAAAAGGGCCCACCGTCGTGGAAGGCGCGTTTTCGCCCTCCGCGAAGAGACGATCGAGTACCCCCCGGCTCGACGATCGGCCCCGTGTTATTTAGGTCTCCGGTTCCTTTCTGGATTATAGATGAAGATCGGAATACTATTAGAGAGGGTGAGAAAGAGATAGATGGATAGAAGGAGAGCGGCCGAGATAGAGGGACCAAATGAAGCTAGATCGTGTTCTAAATTTAAACGAACGGCGCGAGCGAGCGTGCTCTTTGATCGATTCGGAGTGGATTTTCGGTGACATCGATAGCTCTTATCACCTTAGCTCTCTCCATTGAATATAGCACGGGTGTCGCCGAGTACATTACTATTACTACGACTACTAAGATGTCTCGATGGCTTCGTCCCCTTCCTTCCTTCTTCCTCCCGTAAAAGAGTGATCGATGGACGACAGAAAGCAACGAGGAAGGGGGAGAGGAGGAGGAGGTGGCGGCACGAAATTGGGGCGTTGCGTATTTATCGCTCCTATCTCGCCGCTATTTACCGTACCTGCGGCTTTTTGCCGCCGGCCCGTTTTATCGTTCGCCCGTTTTATTTCCCCCTCCCGTTGCTCCCCCCGCCTCATTCGAGCGCCGTTATACTCGTATATAACGCGACCGGATATTTTTTATTAGATTTCGTTTGCTCCCGGCTGATCCGCCGCCACTTCCTCGGATGGCAATTTCATTCCGCCTTTGCGGGTCCCGCCTTGTCTCGCTATCGAAGTATCGTCGCAGTTAATTAGTATTCCCGCGGGACATTTCATATTTATTCGTTGATCAACATTCCGCGTTCACTCGTTACACCGTAAACTACTTTTCGTCCTTCGGAGAAATTCTCCACCGCCGGATGTATAATATACGAGTTTCCTATTTGCCGTAAATTTCATCTCCCTTATTAATTGCGCAACTTTCCTTCACCCTTTCCTCCCTCCTCCCTTTTTCGCCGCATATTTAATTGCGTGCTACGTCGAGGAGGGGGAGGAATGCTCTCGCTTCTTCGGAGCCTGAATATAAACGTCTCTGCTCCCGCCCGTATGGAAAAATTCGACGTCGGAATACCGTGTCTCGTTTCGCCGTCATCCTCGTTGCGTCGTCCCCTACAAACGCGAAGTGCTTCATTACGGCGGACCGGGCAATCATAAAAGCCCGAATGCTCGATGAAGTGATAAAACTTAATTCGCCTGCACACAGCCGTTATACAAACAACGGTTCTCTCGCGCGCGTCCGCCCGCGTGTTTTTCGCGGGACGCGCCCGTCCCACCCGCGGCGGGTTTTTACGATTTTTGCGGGGTTTTACGGTTTATTTTTATCGGCGGCGTTACCGGCTCGCGCGACGACGACGAAAATTGCGACGACGACGGTTCCGTGTACAACGCGAAAGGAAAGTCGTCGTCTCCTCTCCTCCTGCCGCGTCGCGTTCGTGCGCTTTTTACGGCCGACTTTTATGAAACTCCCACCGAAATTATCGTTCCCGGCCTCACCGATAATCGCGGCAGCGCGGTTGCGAACAGTTGCGAAAACATCACCGCAGTATCGGGATTAACTTCGCTCTCGCACGAGAAAGAAAGAGAGAGAGGAAGGGAGAGCTAATTATCGATCCGTCGCCTCGTTATATCACTTCTCACGCGACAGACCGTCGTCTGAATTATTATTGCGTATCGTTTAAGGACTCGGCCCGGCGTGTTTCTCCTCGTCGAACAGCTGTCGCAAATAATCGTAAAGATGGATTCAACAAGCCGTGCATAAAGTCGTGCCGCCGCCCGTTGTCATTCATCACGCCCATGATTTGCAGCGCGGAGCAATAACACACGCCGGTTATTCGCGTCATCATCTGGCCCTGTTAAGTGATAAGATATCCCCGGGGAGATTAATGATATGGATATAATCTAGAATATATGGATGAGTTTGGTGACGTTCGGAGTTCTCTTTTCATGTTCGTTACGCACGACACAAGTGTTCGTGGGTGGGGGCGCGAGGGGAGGTCGGCTTTTTTTTAATTAATACGTTGAGCGCGGCTTTCCGCTTGCAAACGATTGAAAGTCCCCGAATACGATTTGAATAGTAAAATCTCATTGACGCAAAGTCGATGTAAAGTCGTAAGCGCGCGCACTGCACTTTGTTAAAATATTAATATCGGAGATCACAAAGTAGCGAGAAGTAACTGATCTCTCTCTCCATTCCTCGAAGGAGGATCGATCTCAAAAATCCGTCAAAGAGACCGTCGTTAGACTTCAGATCGGGAATTACGGTACGTTCTCTGCTTCAAAAGGCGTGCTTCCCTGTATTCTTTGATGTATCTTCGCTGACGAAGATATCTCTTCCACACGGGAGGATAATACGCAACGGAGAAGCGCGACGCGCGCACATCCTGCCGCCGATCGAGGAAGGCGGGAAACCTGTTGCGAGACTCCTTTTGTACGAAGCTCTCCGGGGTCTCGTCTTTCGGCGGAAGTGCAATGGTAACGACAGCCGAGAGGGCGACGAGAATAAGAAGGAAAGAGAGAGAGAGAGCTGAACTCGATCGTCCTTCGAGCCGGAAATGAGGCGATTAGGGCTGCGCGTTTATTTCGCGGGAACCTCGCGAGCCTCGCGCTCGTCCTCTGGGCGGAAATACGCGCCTTCTCACCGGTCGGTTCGGCTTCGCCCCTCGACGCGCGCGACCCTCCATTGAATTTCATATCTCTAAACGAAGAGCAGTATTTTTTTAATCGCTTTCAACCCCCCTGGCGTGCCTCGAGCAGGTACTCCACTTGGAACATCTGTTGCTCAACCTGTATCGCGGCTGCAACGCCTTTTACGCTGCTACCGATCCCTTTGCAACTTTTTCTGCCGCGAGAAAAGAAGGAGACGGGAGTAGAAAGAGAAGAAAACCGGAGTGCGCTCGTGAGAGAGAGAGAGAGAGCCCGGTTCGCGTTTTAGCGTACGCATCTCGAACGGGTCGCAATTACGCGCCACGTCTCGAGAGGTAGCTAACAATAATCTCCGCCGTTGTAACGAAGAAAATCCCCTCTCCTCCCAAGGGGGAACGGGCAGCAAATGGAAAGCGTCTCGCTCTCAAGTCGCCGTTCCTGTTCCTCGATTTTGCATCGCAGCCTTGTTAACGTCGTCGTGAGCGAAATCGTGTAGTCTCCTTTTCCACGAGGAGGATCTTGAAAGGAAGTTCTCATCGCCGGGAACCGCGTGGCGCGCGCGCGTACGAACACGCGCACGGTGGGAGAGACGACTCCAACGGCACTCTCGGCGAAATTAGAATATTCCTCGATATTGATCTGCCGTGTGTGCGTGTGTGTGAAGGAGATTTGCATCGCGAAAAAAAGTGGAAGGACAGAGCGCGTTTACGTGAGCGAGCGCGAAAATAACGGACGGACGATCTGCTTATGAAAGCGCGCGCGCGATTAACCTCGCAAACTTTGGACTTCGGTCCGCGCAGCCTTGATCTTCGCGGTGCGCGTGGGACGCGTGTGCCATCGTTGTCGTCGACGACGATGATGAGGAATGCGCTTCTACGCTTTTTGTGTAACGCGGACACGAACGCGTGCGGCGCTCCGGAGAGAAAAAGAGAGAGTCAATTGTCAACGTCTCTCTGTCTCCTCCGCCGTCATGACGACCCGCGCACGACGCCACCACGTGCCGGTCGCGGTGACGTCACTTCCGGTACGTGATTTCCTGGTACCGGACGACCGTTGGCGGATGAGAGGAGTTAAGTGCCGGACACGGGAGTTCGTGCCTCCTCTGCGTGAGCGTCTCTCGCGTCTTCCGGAGCGGAAAGGATAATGAGCGCGCGGCGCGAGCGGGAAGGGAGGGAAAGCCGCGGGTCGCGTCTTGACGTCTCGAATTTCCCTCGATGAGATCGGCGCGTCAGAACCGAAAAATTATCGGATTTCTCTGTCTGGTCGCGACGAGAAAGAGATTTCAAAAAATAATATACCTCCGGAAACGAAGGTTTCGTTTCCATTGTCTTTCGACCGCACATGACCTCGGCAAGTTCTTCTTCGCAAACTTTATCCGGATACATGAAGCAGCGCGCATGACATTTCTTTTATGTTTTACTTATGTTTCTCCTTTTATTTTGTATTTGTTTTACAGAACCTTTTGTTTGACCGAACCTTTTTTTGGATTTTTTTGTAGCGAGTGCGTTGTCGGCGCGCTAGCAAACCATCAGAGTCGATTGCATCCGGTCGGTGGAATCTGAAACGATCCGCCTTTCGGTTGCAGCGTGTGGCGAACCAGGCGCTTACCGTTTCGCCACAGCCGGCAGTAACGGTGGAGGGGCCGGTGTCCAAAATGTCTCCACCGACGAACGACGTGACCAACGGTGTGGTAGCGCCGCCCAGCACCTTGGCGCCCCGGGTTCCACCGACCACGAACCCGTCCCTCACCACCATCAACCCACCGACGCACAAGCGTACCCCGAAGGACTTCATCTTCGGCAAGGTGATCGGCGAGGGAAGCTTCTCCACCGTGAGTCTCGTTGTAATTTGCGCGAATCTCGCACGAAACGTAACGAAACTAAAACGCCTTCTTCCCGCACAGGTTTACCTTGCCAAGGACATCCACAGCAGCAAGGAGTACGCGATCAAGGTATGCGACAAGCGTCACATCATCAAGGAGAAGAAGACCGAGTACGTGAAGCGCGAGAAGGAGGTGCTGAACATGCTCGCGGGTGCCAAACACTCGTTCGTGCGCCTGTTCTGCACCTTCCAGGACATGGAGAGGCTCTACTTTGTCCTGTCGTACGCTAAGAACGGCGAGCTCCTGCCCTACATCAACAAGGTGGGCTCCTTCGACATCGAGTGCACCAAATTCTATTCGGCGGAGATCCTGCGCGGTCTCGAGTACCTGCACGGGCTCGGCATCATTCACCGGGATCTCAAGCCGGAGAACATCCTGCTAGACGAGAAGATGCACGTGCTCATCACCGACTTCGGCAGCGCCAAGATCCTCAAGGAGGACCCGGAGACGGTAATGACGCATCCTGCCTCGGACGACGCACAGCAGCAGGAGGAACAGCAGCAATACAGGGAACGCAAAGGCTCCTTCGTCGGTACCGCTCAGTACGTGTCACCCGAGCTACTGGTTGAGAAAAAGGCGAGCAGGTCGTCCGATCTCTGGGCTCTGGGCTGTATCGTCTACCAGATGGTCGCCGGTCTGCCACCCTTCCGTTCCAGGAGCGAGTACATGATATTCCAGAAGATCCTGAAACTCGAGTACGAGATACCGGACGGTTTCTGCGAGCTGGCGAGATCTCTCGTCAGCCAGCTGCTGGTCCTGGAGCCGTCGGGACGATTGGGCGCCCAGGACGAGCACGGCGCCGGTTATCCCAGCATCAGGGCGCATCCCTTCTTCGAGGGTGTCGACTTCGAGACCCTCCACGAGCAGACACCGCCGCCGATTTATCCGTATCTACCCGGCACGTCGGAGCACGAGGAGCTTAGGTCGCAGTACAGGGTGCCAGATAACCTTGAACCCGGCCTCGACGATAAGCAGCTCACCAGACTCCTCGGGTTAGGCATCGGCGAGGACACTGACGAGGACGACGATATCACTACTGGCACCGGCGCGGAGCAGCACGCCGCCGCCCAGCCCGTCAGCAAAACCGCAGTCGTGGAGAATCCGAGGCGGCGCACCAACACCGACGGCAACATCGTCAATCTGACGCCGGAGGAGGTCAGGAGACGGATGGAGTCGCAGCACGCGAGTCCGTGGCGCGAGATCGTGAAAAACAACCTCATTGTGAAGCAGGGTTTCGTCAACAAGAGGAAGGGCCTCTTCGCCAGGCGGAGAATGCTCTTGCTCACCACCGGACCACACTTATACTACGTCGACCCCATCAGCAACATGCTCAAGGGCGAGATACCCTGGAGCCCCGAGCTGAGGGTCGAGCCGAAGAATTTCAAGATTTTCTTCGTCCATACGGTAAGCAGGCCACCTTCTTTGTCATTTCGCAAATCATCCTTCCGTTCTTTCGCCATAGCGGTATGTGAAAATGTCGAATCTCTCTGCTTGCAGCCAAACAGGACTTACTATCTCGAAGATCCCGAGGGATTCGCATTGGAGTGGTGCAAAGTTATCGAGGAGATGCGAGTCCGCTATTACGGCCTGCAGGAGACCGCCGCTTAGAGAGGAGGACGAGTGATCTGACAGACGGAACGTAACGAGCAACATTAACAAAGTCCGCGAGTGGCGATCGCTGTGCCGGTTTGTATCGGACGAGAGAGAAAGAGGAGACGGCGAAATCCGATCGTTCGCCAGCTTAGCTCATTGTGTAAAGTAGTAGATGTTTATTTACTTCAGCTTACACGCCAAGGCAGGACTTGGTTTACGACTTTTACTTTAACCACACGCATTCATTCTTATTAACTATCTAATTAGCTAAAATCCAATAAGTATCACCCAAACAATGCTTCTCTCATTATTATTTTCATTCTATCCAATCATAGCTTTTTTATATCTGATTACACATCCTCGCTTGCCCTTATTTATTTTTTACTTAATTCTTGCACTAACCCCGAACAATTTATTACCTTCCCTCGCGTCCCTGTGTAAAGTAGTAGGTTAGTAGACTGCTCGCGCCGAAATGCGCACTCTGTACAATTTAGGGCAAATTCGTTAGGTAAATTCCCGCAGAAGCGAAAAAAACGGAAAACTGCGAACCCTCCGTCGAAGTAACCAACGTCGTGCGGTGACTTATTATTACTTACGTTCGCTATTTATTTCGTCGATCCTTTGGAGAGAGAAAAGAAAACGAGAAGGGAGAATCGCACGACGCGCGTGCGGAAGGAAGTAGGAGAGGGAAACGGACGGAGGATTAGAGAAATTTTTAGCCAAGGCTTCTTTTCGACGCTGTGCGCTGTACTCGCGCGCAGCGTCTGCTGCTGCCGTGTGACGTAACGCGCATGTGTGAGATCGAGGTCGCCTGGGGCAAAGGAAAATAAAGTCCGCGCACCCGTAAATTCCCATGTTTACCATTCTCGCGATACCAAGTGTAATCGGGACCTTCACGGTACCGTCAAATTTTCTCTCTTTTTTTTTTCTTTTTTTTGTCGTCTTTTGCGAACAACAAATCGGCTTTCTAAATGAAGTTAGCGGCGATCGTGCCGAGTCTCCTAGAGAGAGAAAAGAAGGAAAACCGGAAAAAAGGTGAAGAGATAGCAAGGTCCTCCCGCCCAGGCGTCTTCCTCGAGCGCGACCGCGTCGCACGGCGCTTAAATAGTACCTTTATTCCTAAGCGTATAGTGAAATTCGTCGGGCGCGACAAACCGACGCCGGACGACGTGACATTTAGGCGGAATTAAAAACCGAGCGGGCGACTTTCTCTCTCTCTCTCTCTCTCTTAGTGCGCCCAGTCGCCGCCGGTAACTTAGTAGTCAATTTACGTGTAGTAGCGTCGAGGTTAGTTAGGAAGTAAAAGAAAGGAAAACGATACACGAGAAATGCAATGGAGGATAACGAATCACTTTGCAGCTTTAATGTAACGTTCGTTGCGTCGCCTGGAAAGGCTCCCCGGAACCTCGCTATGTTCCGGGCGATCTTTGCTCTCTTCGTGGCGCACACACACACACACACACACACACACACACGCATATATGTACGTTCACAAATACACACTCACATATACAGTATTCCCCCTCGTGGTTCACCCTCGTTTTCTCCCGTCCTCCATTCTCGTGAATATTCTCTGTAAATATTATATAGTGCGTTTCCACGAAGAGCAGGCTTCGCAAGAACACTCTTGTAACATAGTAGATACGTAAGTAGAAAAGAAAAAAGAAGTATATCGTTGTCTTACCACGGCATTTTCTTCGCGCTTAAGTTCCACCTCGCTTCTCGTCTGGCCCTCGCGGACTCGAGCGTGCGATCGGTGATTATTCAAAACAGGTGGCAGGACGTCGGAGGTGAGGCCTCGGTTGTTGTTCTCGACTCCCCCGACTCGGCGTCCGCACGTTCGTTTGTACAAAAGTTAAGCGGTGGAGAGAAACGGGAATAAAAAAAACAAACGGGGCACGGGGAAACGCGCGCACCGCAGAGAGAGCGCGCGCGAGAACGACGGACTTGTTCGTTTCTTCCCCTCCCGTGAGAAAGACTACTGCAGATGTGCAGACACGCCTGAAAAAGAAGAACTCTAGATAGCAATATATATGGAGACTCGTTTCTTTTTTTTTCTTCTTTTTTTTCCGTTGTACGTATAGCTTTAAGAGGCGCTAGTAGAGATTCGTTTTAGGTGCGTATCTCGTCGATTGGTTAATTACCGCGGTCTCTACTACTAGTGCGATTGTATCGGTATGATTTATTATTAGCGTCTAGTGAAATTACGATTACTGTTCATTACTTCACACACATTATACCGCGTCCCGAGACGGTCCATATTATCACAACAAGCATTCGTTTTTTCTTTTTCATCCGCCCCCTTCTTTCCCGGCAACCACCTGATCATATCCATTGACCCCCTCCTTTTCCTCATTATATATATATAAACATATATATATATATATCTGTAATTTAATTGAACGGCCTCGCGCATTGTTTATTTATTCTTACCTCGTTACATTTGCCTCGAATTATTTATTCGCGTTCTCCTCGTAATATATTATCGCGCGTGCGTGCCAGGACCGCCACGCGGCGTTCGTATAGAGATTACAGACTAGTTACTATCGCTACCGCCACACTGCGACTATATATTTACTATTTATATTATTATCTCTCGCTATCGTACTATTAACTATTACTATTACCTATTTACTATTACTATTATCGTCATCACTGCGCTGCGTTGTTACTACGTTTTACCGCGTACATATATATATTATATATATATTCTATATTACACGTCAACTATTGTCGTTAGACCTAGCTGTTTTTAGGTAGACATTCAACCCCCCCCC